GCCTGGTTGCTGCCCGGGTGGGGCGAGGGCGCAGATGGGCAGATGGGGTATCCGCCCGCCCGGGAGCCGCCCTTGCGGCAGGTTGCCTGACGTCTGACCTTGGCTTTGAGAAACTCCAAGCCAACATCCTAGGGAAGCGTTCTTCCTAGCTCCCATGCCCACGCCTCCAAGACAAATCTATCCTTGCAGGCCTAGAAAGGGTCCCCAAATCACATGGGATCTAGATCCCCGGGCTCCTTTCCCTGTAACCTGTCCCGCCCATCCCCTTTCTAGGAATTCCACAGCAAACACACTCGCCTAAAGGGAAAAGTCTGGAATTTAAGCAAAGAGCTGTCAGAGGCCCTGGTGTAGAAATGTACTTGACACCTTAAGGAATCTCGTTATGTCCATGAATATTGACATATTCTATCTACTTCGTTTATTCAAACAAGTGCCAGTCATTGTCAAGGCCTGACGGGACAAGGTTTAATTTCTGGAACTAACATGTGACCTATAGTATAATGTTACAAAAAGTATCACTGCCTACCCACTCACTGTCCAATTCTCGGAGACAGTATATAGGGTGTTCGAGGCTATAAATCTTTTAGAGAGAACATAGCCTCATCATACCCCCTCAAAGCAGAACCACCGATGGCTTTGACCCCACTGACCTGCAGCTAGCAGTCTAATGCTTTCGGACCACATCACCCAGGGCTCGATGATACATAATTATATCCTATTTACCAAACTAACCATCATACCTGAACACGACTATACATGGAAAGGAAAGGAAAGTCTAGTAATGAGAAAGCAATCTTTAGCTGGAGTGGTGGAGTAAAGAGTTCATAAAGTCACAAATATAATACCAAAAAAAAAACCCTGTCCAATTCATTTGATTCTAACTCACATATAAATCTATGACATAATTTTTCATTTCATGATGAAAGCAAGTTTGATAAATAATTGAATTATCTGGCTTTGTTTTATAATCATGGATTAGAGTAACTCTATCCAAAAAAACTCCAAATTCACTGCCTGTTTGTTCTGCCCCATAGCTGTCCTGTAGGACAGAGTAGAACTGCCCCTGCAGATTTATTTATAGGAGTAGAATGCCTTATCTTTCTCACACTATAAATTTGTACAATTCTGTGCACTGTATAACTCTCTTATCTGCCTTTTACATATCATCAGTTATAAAAATTAATATCAAGAAAATTTTAGGATATTGGGAAATATTAAAGTTTCCAAAATTTGGCAATTTAATATTTCTTGACAAAACATAAAACAGTTGCTATCCAGTTAATTCCAGCTGTTTTGTAGGTTTCTATGGGGTTTCAATAGCTAATTTTTTAGACTAGATCACTGTCTTACTTCCAAAATAATTTTGGATGGATTTGAAGCTCTGATCTTCAGGCTAACTGATGCGCTAAAATTTTTATAGGTAGTTCTCATTCACTACCATCAAGTCTATGCCAACTAATGCCCAATTATATCATTTATTCCTAGTTCATTTCTGATGTTTTCTTACATTTGCAACTTTTATAAAAAAAATCACTGTTGGTTTTTAGAACTTTGAGGAGAAACTTTCAAGTTTCCTTAGAGGCATTTCTTTTTAGAAAACTTACAATTGGGATAGATAATAAGTGGTGGTGTCTTATGCTATAGAGTTGATTCTGACTCCTGGTAACTCCATGTGGTATAGAGTAAAATAGTTCCATAGGGTTTTCTTGGATATAATTTTTTTACAGAAACAAATTGCCAGACCATTTCTTCTATGATGTCTCTGGATGGATTCGAGAACCAAGTCTTTTGTTTACCAGACAAGAGCAAAATTAGAAGGTGGAAATTTGAGAATCTAAGTAATATTTGCTCATGAAACTCATTGAAGGACTTTTTTAAAAAACATTTTTATTTTATTGTATTTCATACAATTGTATTTCATACAATTCTTATCACAATCCATAAATCCATCCATTGTGTTGAGCACATTTGTTCTATTGTTGCCATCATCATTCTCAAAACATTTGCTTTCTACTTGAGCCCTTAATATCAGCTCCTCATTTCCCCCTTCCTTCCCCGCTCCCTCCTCCCTCATGAACCCTTGATAATTTAGAAATTATTATTATTTTGTCATATCTTATACTGTCCAACATCTCCCTTCACTCACTTTTCTGTTGTCCGTGCCCCAGGGAGGAGGTTATATGTAGATCCTTGTAATCGGTTCCCCCTTTCTACTCTGCCTTCCCTCCACCCTCCTGTTATTGCCACTCTCACCACTGCTCCTAAAGGGGTCATCTGTCCTCGATTCCCTAGGTTTCCAGTTCCTATTTGTACCAATGTACATTGTCTGGTCTAGCCGGATTTGTTATGTAGAATTGAGATCATGATAGTGGGGGGAGGAAGCATTTAAGAACTAGAGGAAAGTTGTATGTTTCATCGCTGCTACCCTGCACCCTGACTGGCTCATCTCCTCCCCGCGACCCTTCAGTGAGGGGGTGTCCAGTTGCCTAGAGATGGGCTTTGGGTCTCCACTCTGCACTCACCCTCCTTTAGAATGATGTGATTTTTTGTTCTTTGATGTCTGATACCTGATCCCTTCGACACCTCGTGATCACACAGGCTGGTGTGCTTCTTCCATGTGAGCTTTGTTGCTTCTGAGCTAGATGGCTGCTTGTTTATCTTCAAGCCTTTAAGATCCCAGACGCTGTATCTCTTGATAGCCAGGCACCATCAGCTTTCTACACCACATTTGCTTATCCACACATTTGTCTTCAGTGATCATATTGGGAAGGTGGGCACCCACTGATATGATGTTTTGTTCTTTGATGTCTGATACCTGGTCCTAAAGGACTTCTTAAGTCATTTTCAAAATTTATTATCAAAAGTTGTCCCAATGCCAGTTTTTGCTGTTCATCACTCAACTGTATTATATATGGTGGTGTGAGTTTGATGCCCTTGGGGTCTCACTGCCATCAACAGATTCATAGCAATCGCCTCTGGGTTTCCAACACTGCAACTGATTAAGGGAGTGGATAAGCTAGTCTTTCTCCCTTGGGGTTGCTGGTAGCTTTGAACTGCTGACCATGCAGATCACAGTCTAATATTTAGCTACTACACCACCTGGTCTCCATTAACCTTGGAATACTATTTAATAAATTCCAAACTGTTGCATTACTAGAGGTAGTTGATATTCAGATAAAAACAAAGTGGTAGGTTTCATATAAAATGACTTTATTTTTTAATTCTTTGCATAAAGGTAAATGGATATATTTTATTTTGATTTATTTCTAACAATTTTTAGTATTGTGCTTTACATGTGAACTAAAGAATTTGGTCCTTTTCTATTGTAAATATTCATTTCCCTTTGTTTAGAAAGGTTCTCAGAATCCATTTCTGGAGACCAAATGTCGTCTATGTCACCAAAACACATTTGTAAGACATTAGTAATAGAAAACATTCAATTCATAGAATAAATATGAACAATTTTTATGAGAAAAGAATAATTGTTAAATATATTAAGATGAAGATCAGCATCATTTTGTTCTCTAGGTACATTGATATCTTAGGGATAATTTTGTTTTTAGCAACATGAAAACATTAAGCAATACTTGAAAGAGGAAGTTGCTTTGATGTCACACTAGCACTACGCAGTGATAGGGTATTCATAACTTTCATTTGCACTGTATAAAAAAGAATGCAGCATCAGGTTTGGAAGGAGCCTTATGAACAACCTGCCATATGCAGGTGATACAACCTTGTTTGCTGAAAATGAAGAGGACCTGAAGCACTGGCTGATGAAAATCAAAGATTGCAGCCTGCAGTATGGATTGTAACTCCATATAAAGAACACAAAAATCCACACAACTTGGCTAAGGGGTAACATCCTGATAAATGGAGACAAGATTGAAGCTGTCAAGGATTTTTCTTGCTCGGATCCACAATCAGTGCTCATGCAGGCAGCAGGCAACAGAGGAAATGACACATTGCATTGGGTAAGTGCTGCATAAAACCTCTCTAAAGTGTTGAAAATCCAAGGTGTTACTTTGAGAACTAAGGTGCATCTGACCCAAGCCATGGTATTTTCAATCACCTCATATGCATATGAAAGTTAGACAGTGAATACGGAAGATGGAAGGAGAATTAGTGCATTTAAATGATGGAGCTGGTGAAGAATATTTAAAAAATCGTGAACTGCCAAAAGGACAAACAAATCTGTCTTGTTAGAAATACAGCCAGAATATTCCTTAGAAGCAAGGATGTGAGACATCATCTCATGTACTCTGGACCTGAATCAGGAGAAAATACTCCCTGGAGAAGGACTTTATGCTTAGCAGAGGTTCAGAGAAAAAGAGGAAGAGACTTCACCACATAGATAGGCACAGTTGGTACAGCAATGGG